CGTCCTGCCTCTGGGGCTATCCACCTAGGAAATGCATAAGATTGGTAGCCTGAGGTTCCAGGCTGTGAATAAGAACTACTAGGCACTTCCATACAGATATCTCTTCTTGAAGCGGAACTCCTTCCATAAGGCCTGTATTAAAATAAATTTTCAAAATTGTATGAATATTTTAGCTCAATAATTAGCCAAAAATTTGTTGCACAAAATGGTGTTTCAAAATATTTATGATTTGACATGTCAACTGCAGCATTTCTTCTTGTGGAGTTTATGAAGTCACAAGGTATAAAACCACATCTGAAGTTTCACTTTGTTCATGAATAAATGTGTTCACTAGTTTTTAAAACATTGCTACTTTCTGGTTGCTTGTCATTATATGCAGAAAAAATGGTTTCACTGATGTCTATATTAATTTAAAAGGCAATTAATGGCATCTTACAGAATAGGGAAGTTCAATTCCCTAACTATGTCTGAATTAATTCATCCAGCATAGAGGTAAGCATGTCACAACTGACTTTGAGGCTGAAGAGGAAATCACAGGGATTTGCACTTCTGATCACAGCTAATGGCTAAACTGTTGCGGCCATTTGACCTATTCTGCCTACATCAACTCTTTAAATGAGCACCATACCAAAAATAGACTATGGATGCTGAAAATCTGAAACAAAAAGAAGGATCCTGAAGAAGGGTCACTGAACCCAAAACAGTGACTCTGCTTTCTCTCCACAGATACTGCCAGACATGCTGAATTTCTCCACGTTCAAATGAGCATCATAGGATCGAGCCAATCTTCTGCTTTTTCTCATACCCTTACACATTATTTTTGTCCAAGCAAATATCCAAAGCTCCCTTGAAGGCCTTGAATGTCTAATGACCCATTTTCATAAAAAAAATCTGCCATCCTGACTTGGTCTGGTCATGTGATTCCAGATCCACAGCAATTTGGTAGACTCTTTTACTGCCCTCTGAAATGGCTCTAGCAAGGTCCTCAGTTCAATAGTGATTAGAGGTTAGCAATAAATGCTGACCCAGCCAGTGACATGGAGATCCACGAATGAATATAAAGAAAACACAAATGGCTCAGCTCAGCTGGAAGCACGTGACTTGGGTGCACATTATAGGCTAATACTGGAGGCAGCAATGTCCTCGCGGTAATGTCACTGAACTTATAACCTAAACTGCAGGCTAACGTTCCAGGGATAGGGGTGCAACTTCCATCATCGCAGGTCGTGAAATTTGAATTTGAGAAAAATCTGGAATTAAGAGCCATCCCAATGGTGACCATATAACCATTGTCAAAAATCATAAAAAATCCATATGGTTTACTAAAGTACTTTAGGCAAGGAAATCTGCCATCTTTGCTTTGTCTGGCCTACATGTAGCTCCACTTGCACAACATGGTTAACTCTCAAGTGCCCTCTGGGCGATTAGGGATGGTTAATGAACACTGACCTAGCCAGCCAATCCACATGCCATGAACAAGTAAATTAAAACATCAATAAGTAATGAGAGTTATAAATGTTGTCATTCATTGCTCCAAGTGTCATCTCCCAAATGGAATACTAAACAAAGATCTTGTCCCAGAAAGATGTTAACACCTCCTGATGGAATGGATCTATCTTGGTGTCTTGGGCGGCATTCATTTTTTAACCAATGTCACCTAAAACAGGTAGGCAGATTATTTATCTATTTGTTGCGCATAAAGTGACGACAAAATTTGCCTACATAACACTTGACATAAGGCTCCAAAAGTGATTTATCTATGAAACACTTTGGGGCATTTCTAGTCTAATGAGGTATGTTACAATTGTAAATTATTTCAGTTTCTTCTCTTCAGCAGCAACCAGCAGTATTTGCCAAATGAATTCAGCTGGATGTTTCTTATGAATGTGATAAGGTTGTATATTATAACTAGCATCAATGTCTGTGAATTATATGAAAGGAGGAACAAAGATTCAGGGTTCAACTATTAAACCTGGAAACTCAGCAGCCATTAGGACCAGGATTGGAAGAAAGCAGAAGGTAAAAATAACACAAGCAGCAAACCTGCCAATTCCCCAGCTCCATCCTGCATCTAGGTAATTTTTGTGAAGGTGGAACCAGCATCTAGAACACCTTCCTTCTTCTTACCCTCCATCACAGCCTGTTGCTCCTTTAAAGCTGGAAGCCACTAAATTAGCCCTTCAGTTTCAAAAGATTATCCAATATTCTTAAGCTCTGTGGCCAGCAATTGGCTACCAAAATGAATATCACAGAGTGAATAACGTGCCCTTGCTACCCCTTCATTATTACCCTCAGAATGTCCCAAACTGTTTCACAGCTGGCTGGATATTTTTGAGGTAAAATGGCAGTTATATAAGCGAAGATGGCAATCAGTTTCAATACACCAAGACTCAAGAAACTCCAAACAAATTAGGATGGCATAATCTTTCAGTGATGCAAGTTGAAAGAGAATTGTGGGTCAGGATAGCTAAGGAAGTTTTCATACTCTTCTGAATAATTACAATGGATTATTTACACCCACTGGAAAGACACATAATGCCTACATTTAATGGTTTGTCTTCAACACTTCCACAATGTTGGAGGAAATGTCAATTCAGGCTCTAAATTCAAATCTGAAATAGGTTGAACCCACAACTTTCTCAAAAACATGAGGGTAACCAACTGAGTCAAGCTAATACAAGACATTTTTAAACCTAAATCTTGGCAGCAGAAAAGTACAATGCAAAGTTTAACTTACCGTAGGAGCAGCAAAATAGAAAAACAAAACCTATAATTTAAAATAAAGACAATTTCTTAATTTTTAGGAAACTTGTTAAAAGTAGTCTCTAAAAAGCAACTGAACTTACATGTTATATTGGCTCAATGAAGGTGTTAGTTGGCCGTTACTTCCTCTTGCCATCTTAAAAGCAGGCATAGTTTTCTCTTCTTCAACATCAATAGTTTCTGATTTTGTAATTTCTTTCATGGCATTTCCTGGTTCTTGATCAGCTATATCCCAAACACACACCTTAATAGCAGCTTGCTCCACATACTGATGGAATTCTTCTTCAGTCATTCCTTCTGGAGGCACAATGTCTTGTGATGCACTGCCTGATAACTGACTCCTGCCATCTGTTTCTCCATGTGCTTGTTGCAAAAAGGGACCATGACGAGCTTTCCATCTGTTGATCCAGCCAACAGTTGGAACAAAATTTCTAATCTGCATAGCATCTGCCAAGCCCTTGGCCTTTGCAGCCAAGGCTTCATCTGAGACAAGTACATGTTGTGCTCTGGCAACCTGAAACCACTGTAAGAGGGCAGTATCCACATCACTATCTCTCCCTTCCCTTTTCCTTTTGCGATCTGGATTGCTATTATTGTGCCATTCCATCAATACCTTTTCCTTGTTCTTGATTAGCCTGGAGATGACAGGCTGTGTAACACCAAAGCGCTTTGCCAATTCCATCTGGGAGATCTTTTGCCTCTGAAGCAATTCAAGAACTTGAATCTTCTCAGATAAAGTAAGTTCCTTCTGTTTTTTTCTTGTGGATTCCATGGTGTAACTGAACTGTTCAGCAACTAAACTTTGCACTGACTAATCTAGAGCTCTGACTTGCTCTTTTAAATCAGACTACCTCCAAAAGGCCAGCCCCCACTTCAGAAACACACCCAAAACCTGCTTTCTTAGGTAATGATGTGCAAAAGGACCCATTCAGCTAGAATATTTAGAGTAATGAGGTGCTGAATGTCTCTATTGTGCAGCATAAAACCCTGAGTCTTGCATAATACTAAACCAGGGGTCAAGGAAGGTCAGACTAATCCCTCAATGACTGTGTAAGAAACGCCCAGCTAATCCATTGAAGCTGTTAAGTGTATAATGGAAAGCTGTCAATGGCTATTATTCTACACATCTGCAACTACGTATAAACTTATTTTCTATAAACTTAGCTGTTCTGAAATGTGTGCAGCTGCAGCACAAGTTTTAAAAGTTTATACAGTACGCTGAAATAATCTTTATGCAAACTCACATATTCCTTATCTATTTTTACAACTCACTTGCCTACCTAGTAAACATGTTGCAAAACCAAAAAACTTTGAAAGTTTTGCCACTTTTTCTTCCCCATTTAATCTACAATCACGTGTTTTGTATACAAATGCCACTGACCTCTACTCTTCACCCCTAGTTCCTACCAACCACCGCGACAGGAACTTTGCTGTAAAGGGGGGAAGGGAGAAAGAGATTCCTTCACTATCATTTGTGCAATGCAAAACATGGTCTTTAAATTTCACAAGGAAATGTATTTTAAAAATCTTTAAAGCTGACCTGAGCACACAATGCATTTTTTTAAACAACTAAACATTCAAAAGAGAAATCCGAGTTTTGTAAACTGAACGCCTTCTACCCTAATTATGATCCATTCCTTTCCTGAAGGTATTGACATAAGGTCAGGTATGTTTACATGCATGTCTAGTCTTACAAAATCATGGCCATTTAGCTGTTGTTCACATGTGAGGCTTGTCTGGGGTAAATGCAGCTGAACCGAATTGTATTCTCAGCGCATGCTTGCACACGTGCATTTTCCAACAATTTTCGTTGTAGTCATAATTCAAATAATTTTCACACTGCACTGCGTGAGGATACTGGTTGAAATCTGCTAAGTAAGCATGGAAAATTGAAACCAGGCAGTTACTAGCTAAGTGCCATATCAGGCAGTCCATTTATCCGTGGGGCTATTGGTAAAGTGTAAACCACTTTTTTTGTTGTTTATATGTAGTAACAAAACATGACGGTTCATTTCATAGAGTCATAGAGATATATAGCATGGAAAAAAACCCTTCGTGCCAACTCGTCCATGCCGCCCAATTCCATTTGCTAGCATTTGGCCCATATTCTTCTAAACCCTTCCTATTCATATACCCATCCAGATTGCTGTTAAATGTTCTAATCATACCAGCATCCACCACTTTCTCTGGCAGCTAATTCCATACATGCACCACCCTCTGCCAGAAAAAGTTACCTCTTAGATCCCTTTTATATCTTTCACATCTCGCACACCAGAATCTTGTTTATCAATAGGCAGATTATATAAACTAATTTATACAACAGACATTTTATTCTTATGATACAGAGCACATTCAGAAACAGCTAAATTAGGCATAGTTTCTACAAAATCATACACAGAATCGTCATTCTGATATAGACTTTTATCATTAGCAAATGATGCAGAATCAGCCCTCAGCCTATCGGGTTGTGGTTGATCCATTTCCAAATGGCAAGAGTAAATATTATTTATTTCTTCACCGTCAGCTGGCACTTAATCTTTCAAAGCAGGGTTTAATCTTACTTAGGATGATTCCCCAGAAAGTATTTGAACTATGGCATTTTGCAATGACATAGCATAGCTGTAACAGGAGACAAGCCTTGAAGTTGAAACAAAGACACAAAGAAAATGACACATAGATAAATGGAGGTACAGGTAATGTTGGGGAGGCAGGGAGACTACAGAAGGACTTGGACAAGCTAGGAGAATGGCAAAAAAGTGGCAGATGGAATACAGGGTGGGAAAGTGTATGGTTATGCACTTTGCTAAGTAGAATACAGTCGGTTCTCTTATCAAACGTGTTTCTTCAACACAAACTGGCTTTAACACGAATGAAGAATTTAGACCACTATTTGTAGAACGCGAATGTTCCTTACCTGTATTGGCTATAACACGATTCCGGCCCCGTTAGTTTAAAGGGCACAGCTATTGCACGATTTTCTTCTAACGAGAGATTGTATGAGAACGGAACTATCGTGTTATATCAGAACCGACTATAGAGGCATAGACTATTTTCCAGATCGGGAAAGGCTTTGGAAATCTGAAGCACAAAGGCACTTAGGAGTCCTAGTTCAAGACTCCCTTAAGGCTAACATGCAGATTCAGTTGGCAATTGAATGGATGAGTGAATGCATGACTTATTTCTTGTCACATATATCTAGAGAGATATGGTGAAAGGTGTTCTGACACCACAGTCCAGCGCCATTTTGAGGTACAAGAATAAACAGCAAATGCAAAGATAGCATTTCAAGAGGGCTAGCAGATAAGAACAGAAGTGTTCTGCAGAGGCTGTATAGGGCTATGGTCAGGCCACTTTTGGAATATTGTGAGCAGTTTTGGGCCCAATATCTAAAGAGGAATGTGTTGGCGCTGGGGGGAGGTTTACAAGAATAATCCCTGGGACAAAGGTCTTGTCATATAAGGAGCAGTTGAGGACTCTGGGTTTTTACTCCACAGAGTTTACAAGAATGAGGGAGGATCTCATGGAAACTTACAGAATACTAAAAAGCCTGGATAGAGTGGACATAGAGAAGCTGTCTGGACCAGGAGGAAAGACTAGGACCAGAGGACACAGCCTCAGAGTTAACAGACTACCCTTTAGGGCAGAGATGAGAAGGAATTTTTTCAGCCAGAAATGGTTAATCTGTGGAACTCAGTGCTGTAAAAGGCTGTGGAGGCCAAGTCATTGAGTGTATTTAAGACAGAGGTAGATAGGTTCTTGAATAATAAGGGGATCAAAGATTATGGGGAGATGGCAGGAGAATGGAGGTGAGAAACATGTCAACCATGATCGAATGGTGGAGCAGACTCAATGGACTGAATAAAAAATGAAAAAGCTTGTTCTATGTTAGCACCTGTGGGAGAGAGTAACATTTGTGAATGCCGAGTAAAATAATATTATACATCAACCTTTAACTGTTTAAATAAATGCAGCTCAAGTATAATAATGTCACACAATGTCACCTTTTTTAAATGCCCAATGCCTCAAACATCAAATGATCAAAGAAATCCACACTCTCATTAAGTACAACCAAAGAGACAAAATTTGCACAGTACACCATGTGCTCTAAATTTATTCCTTTTCTTTAATTAGTACACACAGACTGCTTTAAGTCACAGGATAATGCATTTGCATCTCAATGATATACATGGTATATCTGCACAGTACTACTGTATTTACAAGGCATGTCATTGCTATTCCGTACACAGCCCTTTCAGAAATCCAGCCAGGATGATTCCCTGCAGAAAACTATTGAGTGCCACAAAGAAAGGATCACCATTTCATACTGCTACGTTAGTCAGTTAATTAGTAAGAACTCCACAAGAGAACACTTTAACTGCGTCACTGGCTGTGGTAATGGAACACAGCACTCAAACATATCTAGCTTGCTAACCTTTAAACTTTTTCATTTTTCTGACAATAAATCACTCAATATGCGAAATTCAAAAGCAATAAATACTTACGCATGATAATTACCAACAGCAAGACAGCTGGTGGGGAAGAAAGCAAATTAAATCTAATCTATGAAACCTCAATTCAGCACAACATTTGTTGGAATGATATTTCTATAAATCTAAGATTTTTGATTTGCACATATTGCTGAGTTAATTTTTTGGTGTATTACTTGATCTGCACAGCCAAGAGAATGTGAAACAGAGAAGCTAATTTCTGTTTGAACATGGAAAAGAAGCAAAGATTTTCTCAGAGTGATGAAAGGACAAAGCCAAGTTTCCCTTTCAATTTATTGCAGCTCGTCCAGTGGACGGCCATTTCATACTATATATGTTTTTCGTAGCAGTAGTGAATTACAAAAACAACTTCAGCACAATCATCATCATTTAACGTTACAATTGACATTTAAGTTTTCTGATCATAGATCTGATATTGGAGAATGCTCTGCACAGGTCAGCAATGAAAATAAAACAGTTGGTCACCCATGGATTGTAATATTTTCTGACGGCAGCATAAATGTGGAAAAAAGACCTCCTATGATGGTTTGTCACGTTGCCACATGCACTAATGCCACCAGTAATAGTACAGCAGTGTTACCTGCACAGGAACAATGAGTGGTAGTAATGCAACATAATTCCAGCATTAAAAAACATAACGACATGTAGACAAAAATAGTCTGTTGCTGTTGGATAATTGTAGTTTCATCAATGCACACAACTTGCAGTTCCAAGGTGATGTTGCCGTTATTTCAGAATTCTTTGAATTAATATCACAATAACAATTTGATTATTATAGCTCTGTTATAAGATCAAAACATTCCAATTTACCTTGGAGATGAGACAAGCCTAATAAACAGAAATTAGGAAGAGGAATCTAAACCTTATTTAAAATATTAAAGGAAAGTGCAGCGGTGTTTAGGTAGGCAATGCCTATGACAGGCACGATGAAGCACCCAAAAGGTGAGGCAAAGATACAGCTGTGAGCAAGAAATCAAATTAGGCGGAATGGGGAATTTTATGGACCAAGGTCTGTAAGGCTGAATTAATGGCAGAGGGTGGAGAAAAAGAAGAAGAGAGAAATGCTGAAATTTAAACATATGGATATGATTTTTACATTTGAGACACTGGCATTCCAAGATCCAATCCAGCAAGGATGAGTGAGTTGGACCAGATGTATGATAGGACATGATGGGGTGAACGAAAGTTTGCATACAATAAGTGATTGAGAGGCAGGCCAGGACAACACGATAATAAGCCATCCTGCAGGCTTCATGTTCAAATCTGGTTTAAAAAAATGTAAGATTAGCACTCTGAAGAAGTCTAAAATTAAATTCACATTAGTTTTTTTTAAACAAGTTATTCCTTTTTCCACATCTAACTTCTGTATTCATACGGAATTAGAAAAGTTCCTCTGTTCATCTGTAGAGTACAACAACAATTGAAGATAATGCAATCACTTGGTAACACTGAATTTGAATATTGTTGAAAAGAAATTTACTGAAAATGTTTTTCGAGCACAAATGAGGACAAATACAACAATGCCACATTTCAAACCACAACAACAATTCGTACAATAGGAGAAAAAGGAGTTGAATGATTGGTAATTTGACTCTGACTGAGGTGTTGGCATGGAAAAAATCAATGAGAAACTATATGCTCCCTAAGCTTCTGGTAATTCAGAGAAAACTTGAACATATTCCTTTTGTTTGCATATAAGTCCCTGCATTTGAATGCAGATTACATTTAGAGAGCAGGAATAGGCCATATTATGAACTCAACTTCTTGGAAGATGTTAGCGTAACTATTAGCAATGCAGAATGCAAAATTAAACAGTAACATGTGAGGGTACTAGGGTTTTTCAAACACTATTTCAAAGTACGAGCATCAAATAAATTCTTATTTTAGTAATGTGATTCTGTTTAGACCTTGATGGAACATTTCTTTGAAGGCATTTTAAACAGAATTTTTATGCAAAAGCATCAGGGAAACCAACCATACTTAGTATTTACACAAAAATCAGAAACAACTCCCAGTGGCTGCATATCAATGCACCAAAAAAAAAACAAGGATGTTAAACCAAAAAGTCCAGAGGTCCAAGGTGTCTGATTGTCCAAAAGTAATGCTATATTGCCATCTGGTTCACTGATCGTACACTTGTCTAAAAAATAAGAATGAAGTTTTCCAGAAAAGAAAAAGTATCAATTTTAGTGTAAGTATGATCTTAATGATGTGGCAAATTATAAATTTCTGCAAAACAATGACAGTGACACAAAGTTAACTTTCTCAAGAGTCTCATTCCTTGTAATTTTAATTGGTATTAGAAATTTTAAAAATAAAAAAATTAATATCTTGACTTCCTTCTTTTTAAATGTCTCTCTCGACCTTTTATTTCCCTCTCCTGCACCCAATTTTATACTGAATTAAATATTCTTACTAGAAGGCATTCAAAAAGAATTGATGGTTACTTGAAAAGGAACAACATGCAGAGTCTGAGCAGAACACAGGACAATGGCAATAGTGAGATGTTCATTTGGAGAACTGGCACAGACAAAATGGGCACAATGGCCTCTTTCTGCTCTAAAAAGGTTCTGTGATTCTAAGTCATGTCCTGGATCACACGGCGTTTCTCTTTAATAATTCTTCAACTAATTTGTAATTTAGATTTAAATTTGTCATATGCATATAAAAATATAGTGAAAAGTGTCTTTTTGTGTGTCAGACGCGAAGTGTCACCACGCTCTGATGCCATATTGAAGCACTGAATATAATGCAAGATTTTACTGCAATAGAGTTCATCTTTCTCTTTCTTCCTCCACT